TGTAGCCGAGCACATGTGGTGCTTGAGCACATGTGGCGTCCGCATCTCCCCTCTTGAGATGTGTACTTTCATGCTTTCATATCTAATGCTGGGGTGTGTGTAGGGGCTCTCTCCGCCCTTGGGGAAGCCCCGTTTCTCTCTTGAATGCATTAGTCTCTCACTTTCTCTCCTTCCCCTTCCTAAAATCCTCCAAATAAAATCTGTTTTTACTTGACTGCTCATCTACTCCTGAAATTCGTTTCTGCAAGACTTGGAAACCCTGGGTAAGGCCTAAGACTGACTTTCCTTCCCTGCAAAGAGCAATTTCTCGCTCCAGTCTGAGTCTGTGGTTCACCGAGAAATCAGGTGGGGATCAACTCCTGTGCTAAGAAGACCAAGCTGGTCACCTGGTGTGGCTGGTAGGACTCTGATCCATGCTGCACAGGGCCTCATTGCAGATTTTATCAGTCCTAGACTTTCCAGCTGGTTTCAGGGTGTCAGAAAGTGAACGTTTCCTTTCCACCTCACATAAGCCACCTGTGGGGGCCCACTGATTTCAAGGGGACCATAAGGGGTGCTGGAGATTGAACCAGTGTCAGCAGCCTGTAAGGCAAGTGCCTTACCCACTGTACTGTCTCTCTGGCCAGAGACCTAAAGTTCTTAAGAGAGGGTTTAAAGCAAAAAAAAAAAAAGAAGGGGTGCTGCTGGAGTGATAGTCGAGCAGGTAGAGCACTTGCCTTGCATGTAGCTGACCTCGGTTTGATCCCCAGCATCGCATATGGTTTCGCAAGTCCCACTAGGAATGATCCCTGACAGCAAAGCCAGGAGTAAGTCCTGAGTACTACTGGGACAAAAGAGAGACAAATAAAATGCTTTCCTCACTGGGAAGTAAATTTTTATAAAAGTGTTTAAGGCTTAAGCACAGAAAGCAAAATTTTTAAATAAAATTTTAATTTAATTTAAATTAAAACCGCTTCCATCTCAACAGAATCAAAGGCCTTCTTTAAATCAATGAACGTTAAGCAGAGCGGCATCTTGAACTCCCGAGAAACCTCAATGAGCTTGGTTATCGTGTGGATATGGTCGATGGTGCTGAATCCTTTGCGGAACCCGGCTTGCTCGCATGGTGGTCCTTCATCTAGTGTTCTGCCAATCCTATTTAGGATGACTCGAGTGAACAACTTGTAGATGACAGACAATAGGCAGATCGGGTGATAGTTGCCAATGTCATGGATGTCTCCCTTCTTGAACAGTAGTACGGTCCTGCTGGTTTTCCATTGGGACGGAATCTTGCATTCAGACAGGTAGCGAGTGAAGAGCCGAGCCAGTGTATTGATGAGTACTGACGGCAGGTTCTTCAGGTGTTCAGGTCTGACCTTGTCTGGGCCGGGTGCTGTTTGTTTCTTTACCAACGAAATGGCGTGTCATTTCGGAGGGGAGAACGTTGGGAACAACATACCCATCCTGTGGAATTTGGTATGTCGGCAAGTGGACATGGCTATCGAAGAGATTTGAGTAGAAGTCATGGATAATCTTCTCCATTGCCGTTCTGGAGGATGTGATGGATCCATCAGGACGTCGGAGGGCAGTCATCTTGGTCTTGTAGTTGGCGAAGGACAGGCGGGCGTTACGAATACTTTTCCCGGCTTCTGCCGCATCTACCAGTACTTCTGCTCTTCTCTCTTTGAGGTCTTCCTTGATCGCATCTCTGCACTGCTTTGCGAGCTCGGACGTTAGCTTGCGGTTGCCTGCGGCATGCGCCAAACCACGCTGGCGAATTAGCTCAAGAGTTTTCGAAGATAGGCGACTTTTTGTGGCTATCTCTCTCTTGGCGTTCCTCGCACATTCATGGAGGTGCTGAACCAGTCGATCGTATTCCTCCTGACGCCCCATTCGCTCTCAATGGAACGACCATCTCCGAATGCAACAGCTATGTGTACCTAGGTCGAGAGGTCAACATGACAAATGACCTGGCACCCGAGCTGCGCAGGAGGAAGAGAGCGGCTTGGAACGCCTTCAAGAACGTCGAAGAAATAGCTAAGAGGACGAAGAACCTCCGGCTCCGGGCACATCTCTTTGATTCCACTGTTCTTCCTGCATTAACATATGCCTCAGAGACCTGGGCCCTACGCAAACAAGATGAGAACGCCATTCAGGTCTCCCAAAGAAGAATAGAAAGAGCTATGCTTGGAATATCACGTTTCACTCAAATGAGAGAACGAATCCGGAGTTCTGACATCCGTCGACGATCAAGGATCAGGGACGCTGTCTCATTTGCCAAGGTGTCGAAAATCAGATGGGCTGGTCACGTAATGAGATTTAAAGACGACCGTTGGACTAGAGCTGTTACTGATTGGATTCCACGGGATGTCAAGAGACCGCGTGGCCGCCCACCTACCAGATGGTCAGACTTCTTTGTCAAATTCATGAACGATCGGTTTGAGGCCCTCCATGTTCCCGGAGCGAAGAGATGCCATTGGGCTACACTAGCACGCAACAGGGACAAATGGAGACGTTACTGGCGCCCGCTCGAGCAAATCGACGACTAACGGGAAGTTAAGTGATTAAGTGTGAAATTAAAACATTTTTAATTAAAAAAATTTTTAAATCACTGTCACTGTCCTCCCGTTGTTCATCGATTTGCTCGAGCAGGCCCAGTAACACTGTGAGATTTGTTACTGTGTTTGGCGTATCGAATATGTCACGGGGAGCTTGCAAGGCTCTGCCGTGCGGGTAAGATACTCTCGGTAGCTTGCCAGGCTCTCCGAGAGGGGCAGAGAAATCAAACCCGGGCCCATTGCTTGCGAGGCAGGCATCCTATCCGCTGTGCTATTGCTCCAGCCAGAGGGATCAGATGGTTTCCTATATTGACCCTGGGGCCTCTCTGCATGCCAGGCATGTCCTCCAGTGTTTTTAGCCATCTCCCTGACCAGTGACATCTGAAGGGTGGACTTCCATCTACCAACTTTGGCTTTACCTGAGTGATCGGCTCTACCTCTATGCACTCTCATCTATGCACTTTGGGAATGATGTGTTCACTCTCTTTGGTCCTTGCTAGCCCCCAGGAGCCACTGGGCCCAGCTGTGTCTCATCTCTCTCAGGGTTGGGTACTTCTTCATTAACAGGCAGGGAAAGATTCAGGGGCACAATCGCAAAGCAACAGTCACATGGTGGTTTACTTGGCGTTTATTTTAATGGTTTTGCCTGCTTATGATGCTTAATTCAGGTTTCTCATTTATCATGATTATTTATGCAGTTTCCTTTAGAAATAAATAATTTCTATTATTTATTAGAATAATTATACATGGTGTAGGACTCTTGCCTTGCACGCAGCTAACCTGGGTTTGATACTCAGCATCCTGTATGGTCAACCAAGCCCGACCAGGAGGGATCCCTGAGTACAGAGCCAGGAGTAACTCCTGAGCATTGCTGGGTGTGGTCCTAAAACCTAAAAAAACAAAAACAACAACAAAAGAAATAAATGGTACCATGCTCAGCAATGTGGCTCAGTGGCAGAGCACCTGCCTGCATGCATAAGCTTGAGATTTTGATCCCCAGCACTATTCCACAGGGCTGGGGAAGATCACTGGCACTGCCTTTGCCACACCTGATTTGCCAACTGTGACCTTCAGTGCACTGTAACCAAGAGAGATAGAACAGGGGTTAAGGCACTTGCCTTGCATACTTGCAACCCCCTATTCCACTCTCAGGACTGAATGATCCCCTGAACATCCCCCCACCCCCAGCAACCTCCAAGAACAGAGCTGAGATAAGCCCTTAAGCAAAAAAGATACCACCCCAATGCTTCTTCCCCAGATATGAAATGGAGAGACAGCTCAGTGGACTGAACACATGTTTTGCATGTTGGAGACCCATGCTTGAACCCCAATAATCTGAGTTCCACCTGGAGTGACCCTGGAACCCAGAGCCAGGAGTAGCCTCTGAGTACTGCTAGATGTGGCCCAAGTGCCCCCCAACAAAAAATATGTGTGCCACCCAGGAAAGCACCAGAATCAGGAGTGCGACCCTAATATTGAGATAGAAGGAGATGAAAAAATGGAAGATCATGAAGAGAAAGCATTTCCACTGCAGCAGTCTTGTCCCTTGTTCCAAATTATTAAGTCATTGTTCCTTTGATAAGAATATTAAACGCACAGGTTTATTGACTCCCACATATGGAACATCATTGCATGCCCAGTTATGAAATCTTGGGGTTGGAGAGTACAGGGGGTTGCGTGCTTGCTTGCTCCCAGTCAACGAGAATCTATCCCAGGCACCACATATGATCCTCTGAGCACTGCCAGGAATGATCCCCTCAGAGCCAGGAGTAAGTCCTAAACACAGGGGTTGTGTGCTCCAAATCCAAAATAGAAGAAAAGAAATCTTGGTATCTGGTGGACAGAAAACTCAAAGGGCTGAGAGTGTGCTAAGCAGTCGGGAAGGGCTCGGTTAGAGCTCCGCCACTGCATAATACCCAGAGTAGTGGACGGGTCACCTTCTGAAATGGCAAGGAAACAAAACTTAAATAAAAGAAATCTTGGTATCATTGTTCAGAGTTCCCACTTAACCAAGAAGGACACAAAGGCCCAGGGTGGGCAAAAGGTGAGCTCAAGTTAGCAGTAAGTCAGTTGCTCAGCTGCAGAGGCTCGCTTAGAGTACGAGGGCGCGGAAGTTTCACTTAGCCTCTAAGGAGGATGCGCCAGGACCACATTCAACCCCTGGAAGCCGCGGCGGGCGGAGGGGGAGGGGCTCCCACGCCCCGCCCCTCAGGTTGGGGGCGGGGCTTCCCAGGGCCACCTCCGCTGAGGGTCGGGGGCGGGGCTTCCACGTCCGCCTCCGCCGCCGGGCTCGGGGCGGGGCTTCCCGCCTCCCGCCTCCGCCGCCGGGTTCGGGGGCGGGGCTTCCGCGTCCCGCCTCCGCCGCCGGGCTCGGGGCGGGGCTTCCCGCGTCCCGCCTCCGCCGCCGGGTTCGGGGGCGGGGCTTCCGCGTCCCGCCTCCGCCGCCGGGCTCGGGGCGGGGCTTCCCGCGTCCCGCCTCCGCCGCCGGGTTCGGGGGCGGGGCTTCCCTCCAACCTGCGCTGCTCCAACATGGCTCCGCGGCTGTGCAGCATCTCTGCGGCGGCGCGGCGGCTGCTGGGGTGTCCGGGGCCCCGCGCTGGGGATGCCGTGACGGCGGCGCGGTGAGAGCCCTACCGGACTGGGGGTGCGCGCGGGGTTCGCTCTGCATGGGCAGTGCCGGGGTTTCAACCTGGTGGCCGGGGTTCTGGCTTGGAATCTAGAGGTTAGAGCCGGGGTAAGATCAGAGGCCCGGGGGCGAGCGCCTGGGGGAGATGGGGAAAAGGGCCAGGGTCTTGCACCTAAGGGGGTTCTGGATCTAGGCGGAGATTAGGAGATGGGGTGAGTGGGAGGGGCAGATCCTGGGCCCAGGGGTGGGTGTGGGAGCAGAGGAAGGGCAGGAACGGGGGCTCCTCTGCAGGCCTTGGTGGTAATTGTCAGAATAGTGCCCACCGGGGCTCCTAAGACGCGTCCCTCCCATGGGAAGTTCTAGGGGTAGGAGAGTTGGATGGACTGGGGGCACAGAGGAAGGGAAGGGGGGGTCTGCAGGGGATCCCACAGGGCTGTGTCTGCACAGATCCTTTGCCCCGCCGGCCCTGAACAGTACAGGTGGGGCACAGGAGGCCCGAGGAGGGATGGGAGTGCCTGAAGGTCACTCTGCCGCTGCCCCACGTATTGGGTCGAAACCCAGGTCTCCACAGGCACCTTGTGCTCTTTGCACCACAACTGGTGGCCTTTTTGGGAGTGGAGGCCAGCTCGGCCTTGTATTCACTTGGGGTTGCCGAGGGCTGAGCTGATTCACCTCCTGCCTGTGTCTCCAGAACCCTGAACTTCCCCCATCTCTGCACTTATCATTCTGACCACTTGCGCGCTCGCCTGTCTCCCTCACTGCATTGTCACCGCATTTTTCTGTTTCACCAGCCCCTGGTTTAGGGCTCAGGACCGTGTATGTTTCAGATCACTTAGCAAAAAAGTGGGGACACTGGTTCACCCCACCTGTAGAAAGGAAGAAGGGGTACTCCCCTGCCCAGGTGTAGAGACAGGAAGCTGCAGGAGACCTTGCCACTGGAAGTTAAGAGGGATGTGCATTGGGGGCTTGTGACTCCAACCCTGGTTCCTGGTAAGAAACTTGTTATTGGGACTGGAGCAATAGTACCACTGGGGGGGCGTTTGCCTTGCACACGGCCAACCCGGGTTCAATTCCCAGCCTCCCATATGGTCCCCTGAGCACTGCCAGGAGTAATTCCTGAGTGCATAGCCAGGAGTAACCCCTGTGCATTGTCGGGTGTGACCCCAAAAAGCAAAAAAAAAAGTTGTTGTTATGGAAAGAACCTTGAGTTTGCCTTGCACCAGCAAATCTTAAATTGGTTGGCCAGCCAGCCTGCCTTTCTCTGCCTTCCTTGCTTCTTTCTTGACCACACCCAGCTGTGCTCAGGACTCACCCCCACCCCCCCCCCCCAGGCTCAGGGTTAACTCCCGGCAGTCTTGGGAAACCATATGGGGTGCCAGGGGTGAAACCTGGTCAGCCACATGCAGGATAAACACCCTACCCACTGTATTATCACTCCAGCCCCTCAACTTTTCTTACCGAGGTGATCTTATATGAGTCATTGGGTCTCTTGAAGCTTCCTGATTGATAAGATAGGATGTAGGTGATGGAGTTGTTGAGGATTAATAAGGTTAAGGTCAGGAATCTCACACTGGTCCCTGCCCAGACCTGTTTTTCCATCAGTTTCTGTGTGCTCCCCTCTGAGAGCAGGGCTAAAAGGTCTTTGGGAGACCATGGCCGCTGTTTTCTGAAGGAAGAAACATTGAAGCTGGTGATAGGACCTTGTGAAGCTGGTGATAGGATCTTGCTTTCCTAGGGCTATGGAAGTGATTGGTGACAGAACTGTTCTTGTAGTAAATATCCAGAGGCACAGATGCGCTGTGGGATGGGGGAGCGGGGGAGGGGACACTGTTGCTCCTGTACTCACACAGCCGCCCTGGATGAGGAGGCATCAGACCTCTGGGAGCCGGGGGTTTCCTTTGTTCAAGAGCATGTTGATCTCTGTGAAGGCACTTGGACCAATAACTACCAAGTCCTCCAGGGATAGCTTTGGAGCATCCTCTCACCCCACCTGGAGTACCTGAGAGCATCCCCTCCCCCAGCTCCATCCCCCATCTGTCTGTCTGGACTGGCTCAGTGGGTCGCCTGCAGCTCTCCTGGCCTCAGGCTTAGGGGCCATTGATTCATTTCCCTTGATTCAGTCATGATTCTTTATTTTTGTTTTTCCCTTGATTTTTGGGCCACACCTGGCAACTCTCAGGGTTACACTCAGGAATCACTCCTGAATGTATGTTGTACTGGGGATCGAATCCAGGTCAACCGTCGGCAAGGCAAATACCTTACCTACGATACTGTTTCTGGCCTCTTGATTCAGTCATGGAATGTCTCTGAGCTTCATTTTTCTTTCCTCTCCTCACCTCTCTCTTCCTCACGTTCTTTTCCTTTTTTTGATTTTTGGGCCACACCTGTTGGTGCTCAGGCCTTAATCATGGCTCTGCACTCAGGGAATCACTCCTAATGGTACTCAGGGGATCAAAAGCAGGGCCTGAGGATCGATCCCATGTCAGTCACATGCAAGGCAAACACCCAACCCTCTGTACTCTCCAGACCCTCTTTTTTTTTTTTTCTTGTTTTTGGGCTGTAACCTTAGGGGTTACTCCTGGCTCTGCACACAAGAATTATTTCCGGGTTGGGAGCCGTGGTACAGCGGGTAGGGCTTGTTGCCAGGGATTGAAAACTGACTTCCTACATGTATAGCATGTGCTCTAGCCCACTGAGCTATCTCTCCAGCTCATTAACCTCATTTTTCTTGAAAAAATACTGTGAAGATTGTTTCTTAGCACATAGTAAGTGCTCAGTCAACAGCTGCATCAACTCTGTGGAAAAACATTTTCGTTCTTCCAGTGTTTTTCCAAAGTTTCAGGGCCAGAGAGATAATAGTACAGCAGGTAAGGCATGTTCCTTGCATGCAACTGACCTGAGTTTAATCCCTGGCACCCCATATGGTCTCCCAAGCACTGCCAAGAGTGATTCCTGAGCACAGTTGAGTGCCACCCGCACACCACTCCTTCCCTTCTCTAAAAAAAAGACAAAAAATTCTGAAACAATAATCAGAAATGTGGCCTCTTTCTAATGCCAGCCAACTCACTAGAAGTATGTTTGAGAACATGCCTAGAGCCAAATATCCTAGCTTATGGAATTGAGCTTTCTGACATATAGGTGTAGAATATTCTGGAGCAGTTTCATCCGGGGAAGCATCAGACTATTGATCCCGATGGCAAGTGCAAATGTGTCATCTGCTGGACATGGGTCACCTGTGTCAAATATTTACAGAGAAACACATGCTGCAGGGACTGTGCTGGGGTGGGGGTGGGGGTGGGGGGAATGGAAGGACGTTCAATTACCTCCCATGTGGCTGTGGAGACAAGATACTCTCGTAGGAAAATGATGCTCTGATTTCACCCGAGGGGGAATCCATGCCTGGTGTGGAAGGGTCTGAATCAGTCGAGTGGGGCACGCAGACTCTACCTTTAGATTGGATCCACTTATGTTTCAGTTTGCTTTGTTTCTTGGGGGCCACACCTGGAGGTGCTTGGGGGACTTTGTGGTGCTGGGGATTGAACCTGGGGCTCCTGCATGCACAATGTTTACTCCAGCCTTTTTTTTTGCTTTTTGGGTCACACCTGGCAATGCACAGGGGTTACTTCTGGCTCATGCACTCAGTAATTACTCCTGGTGGTGCTAGGGGGACCACATGGGATGCTGGGAGTTGAACCCACGTCGGCCGCGTGCAAGGCAAACGCCCTACCCGCTGTGCTATTTGCTCCAGTCCCTACTCCAGCTCTTGAAGTCATTGACTCATATTCTTTTTTAAGGCACAGGCTTTCTTGTGGTGTTTTGGAGTGACACTTGGCAGTGCTCAAGGACTACTTGGCTCTGTGCTCAGGAATCACTCCTGACAATGCTGAGGGGACCATATGTGGTTCAGGGGATCAGTTTGGGGGTGACAGCATGCAAGCTAAACCTCTGTACTATTTCCCCGGCTTCTAGAGTCCATCTTTCAGTTTTTTTTTTTTAATATGGGGGGCCACACCTGGTGGTATTCAGTGCATACTCCTCATTCTGTGCTCAGCGATCACTCCTGGCAGTGTTTCGGGGACCATATGCAATGCTGGGTGTCTAACCCAGTTGAGGTGCATGCAAGGCAAGTGCCTTACCTGCTGTACTATCTCTGCAGTTCTGACAAGAGGCATTCTATATAAGGTTTAGACACCAGCATTTTTGTTTTTGGGGTGATTTATTGAGATGTCATGGCGCTGGGGGGAGTGAAGTTGGGACGCCTCTCAAGCAAAGACCCTCACAGTCCCCGGAGAGGCTTGTTACAAGCCAGATTCTGGGCCTGCCTTTAGAGTTTCTAGGTCTGGGATGGAGCTGGAACATTTCTTTCTTTTTTTCTTTCTTTCTTGACCACACCTGTCAGTGTTCAGGGCTTACAACAACTGGCTCTGCACTCAGAATCACTCCTGGGGGACTATATGGGATGCCGGGTATGGAACCCTGGTTGGCCGCCTGCAAGACAAGCGCCCTATCCACTGCACTATCTCTTCAGGCCCTGGAGCTGGAAAATTTCTAACTCATAGTTCCCAGGTGATGTCAATGCTCTGGGTATTGAGACCCGTTGGTATAGGGAGTATGTGGTGCCAGGGATTGAACTTGGGTCAGCCTCATGTAAGGCAAGGGTCCCTCCACTGTATTTCCGGCCCAAGGCCTGAAGACTCTTGAGCAGAGCAATAGCTTCACAATGTTGTATTTTATAAAAGTGGGGAGTGGGACAGATTAAAAAGAACAGGGAAAGAGTAGGAGCTGGGAGCTGGGAAATCACAAGTCAGGTAGGAACCTCAAGATGTGAGCTGAGGGGCACCTTGCACCTTGCGGCCGACCCGGGTTTGATTCCCAGCATCCCATATGGTCCCCTGAGCACCGCCGGGAGTAATTCCTGAGTGCATGAGCCAGGAGTAACCCCTGTGCATCGCTGGGTGTGACCCAAAAAGGGAAAAAAAAATGTGACCTGCACCA